TTCCGTCTCTGAAACACTGAATTCTTTCTCCACCTCTTCAAAGCTTATCTCCTTTGCTGACTCCCTTTTCTCCTTTTAGCCATTAACTCAAGGCTTTATTCTTGTCCCTGTACCCATCCATCTTCAAAATTAATACTTATGGTAGTGAGTTTCTTCAAATGTTTTAAACTCTAACTTCTCACATAAAATCTGTTTCTTACTTCTAACTACCTACTAATTGTTTCCACTTGGTTATCCAATTTCCCATCCCAAGTACTCCATTCCAGGAAACAGATTGTTTGGGTTTAAATCTAGCGTGAATGTCTTCATAGCTAGAATTCCAGAGCCTCTTTGCTGTGTGTTGTATCATCTAATGGGTAGCTTCTCAGTTGCCAATAAATCACACCCTACCTCCTCAAAGTTTCTTATTTCAAAAACGTTTGATAAAGGTTTGGGCAAAAATTAAGGTATTCTAAATATAGATTATTCTTAGCTTATCTCCATAGTAGGCATACCATGCTAGTCACAACCACGTCCTTCATATCTTAGACTTTTATAGGATTTTCTGCTGTAACTGAGGCATTTAACCAAGTTCATAGTCACTGCAGGACTGGAGCAAATAGGAGTGTTAAGCTTGTTTCTAGAGTCTCTTTACTTTGCTAAAGGGGATGGTCTTGGTCACCAAACTAATGTAACAATTTAGTTCTTGTAGAACTCTGCTCTGATTTAGCACTATAAGGTTTTGTTTTTGTTTCCCCCGAGATCACTAAGTGTGCCCTCTTTCATTCCTTTCCATTTCTTTAAACCAACTGGGATTAGGTCAAGGCTGGGGCACTGGCAGTTCTTTTAGTGCTCTGTCAAGAATAAGATCAAATTCTGTGGATTCCTCTCATTCTATCTATTGGTCCAATCAACAATTGGGAAGCAGCGAATTTACTTCTAAACTGTACTTTTCTGGTTTCTCTCCAAATCCTGTATCCTCAAAAGAAAACACATGTACACAATGGTTTGGAAGACTTTCAACCTCCATGTCTAAGGATATTTTAAGAAGAGCTCAGTTTGAAAAAAGAGGGATAGGATAAACGACTTCCTAAAACTTACCTTTCTGTCAGTCTAAAGTATTTCAAGTCCTAACATGATACTAAAGTATGTGGGAGGTAGTGGTAGGATGGGTATAAATTGAGCAGATATTAAATAGTAAACTCATATCTATTTGTGGGCTATAGTTTCCATCTATATTTATGATTCCAAAAACAAAGATTTAATTTTTAAAACTAGTTTAATGACCTGGAATTGTTTTTGAACAGCTGGAAATCTTTTGCAGTAACATCAAAGGTTATTACTCCTTCATGGCAAGAGATCAGGGGGTTTGTGTCTTTTGGCTTGATGTTAAGTCAAACATTTTTTTTTTTTCAGAACATGCGCGCACACACACACAGTATTTAAAAAAATAAATATTTTTTTTTCTGAATTCAAGGACTATAAAAAAGCTTTAAATGCCCCCATAAGGGAGCTCAAACCCAACAATGCAAGCATCTGATTTTATGTTTCTTCCTCAAAAAGATGAGAAGGACACAGGGGAAAGTTTGCCTATTTTTATCCATGAAACAAGGTCACAAACTATATTATGCCACTTAAATCAAATTCCTATCTTTTAAAACGTTTCTATGTAATATATTGGGTCTTATTTTTGCTACAGTTCAAGAATGACATGGGTTCTATAACTATTATTTTCGTAGTTTATTATAAGACTGAATTTTTGGTTGCCATTTCTGAAATTAATACAACTACTAGAGCACTAGCATTCTGATTTAAAAATCTGACTACATTAGAAGAAAATTAACCTTTTCAAAAAGCCACTGTTCTAAGGAATACTTTGAATCAAATGAGCTTTAAATGTTGTAACTGCATTTAGACTTTTTAGAGGAATTGCAACTCTCCTGTGATCTATTTTTTTGAAGGAGAAGAAAGAGTCAAGTAAAATATAGGAAAAGTAACTATGAAAATTAAAAAGGAGATCCTAAATAAAACTAATTTTCTTTAACTGAAATGGCTTTTATAGTAACATTAGGTTCAGAAGTCAAAGTAGAAACTGACTTTATTATAAGTAGTTTTGATATTTTCAAAGCAAAATATCAGGTTCTAATAATATCCAGTAAATTGCATGTTTTCTGTTGGAATTCTCCATGATACACTTATTTATTCATTTATTTCACTTTTGACAGGCACTTACAATGTGCTAAACAGAAACTCTGAGGGTGGGGCTGGGGAGCTGGTGCAGAGAAGTACCAGGTCTATTGCATACAAAAGATGGTTAAAATATTAAGCACTTCAAATAATGCTAAACATTTGGATGAAGTGAGAGTGCACAGGTTTTCAGTCTACAAATTCAAATATGCAATATATTTTTTTATTTTTAATTTTCTCTCAATTGCTTTAATTTGGTATCCAGGTCCTGACCCCACCAGTTTGTAAATAGCTTCACTTCTGGAATTCTGGGGTTCCTTCTTACTTTGGGGTCAGGTTGAGGTGCTGGGGCCTGTTATGGATTGAATTGTTTCCCCTAAAAAGATGTGTTGGAGTCCTTAACCACTGTATCTCAGAATGTGACCTTACTTACACATAGGGTCATTGCAGACATGATTAGTTAAGATGAGGTTATAATGGAGTGAGATGCACCCTCAATCCAATGTGACTGGTGTTCTAGAAGGAAAGGAGAGAGACACACAGGGGCAAGACAGGCATTGATGATGGGGGCAGAGATTGGCGTGATACATCTGCAAACCAAGGAACTCCAAGAAGTGCCGGTGCCTGGTGGAAGAGGCAAAGAGTGACCCTTCTCTATAGGTTTCAGAGGAAGCATGGCCCTGCTGACACCTTGATTTTAGACTTCCAGTATTCAGAAATGTGAGACAATAGCTGTTCCTTTTTCTAGGTCACCCAGTTTGTGGTTCTTTGTTAGGGAAGTCCTAGGAAATGAAAACAGGGCCTAATACCATGCAAGGTGTCAGGATGGGATGGCAGGGCCTCTAGTCTCTGGTCTTCTGGTCCTTTAGATAAATGCTGAGCTAGCCACCGTTCCTTATTCACAACCATCCACCCCACCTCACCCCAGATGAAGGGGTCCCTGCTGTTTGTACACCATTCTTGGGATTCAGGTGCTTTTTAGGAGGCAGAAACCTCTGAAACTTCACCTGGTACATCAAGCAGCCACCACTAAGGCCTTGACAAATCCTGGGGCTTCCTTGGAGGAGTAAGGCTTCTTCACTATCTCCTAGCCCCATCCTCCTGCTTGCTGTCTAGGTAACTCTGTTTCTTCTCTCAAAACTTGTGTTCCCTTGACCTTTTCCTCAAGTCTTGTGAATTCTCCTAAGGGGTTGGGCTTTTGGAAAACATCAGGGAGAGTCTTTCTCTGTCTGCACCCTGCCCCACCCTTCCCACCATGAAACCACAAACAATGGAGGAGAGCCTGATACATGTAGACTGGGGATGAAAAAAGTGAAAAGTGTAAGTAGGGAAGGCCTATACAATAAACTATCAAACTATTACTCAGCCACAAAATGATGAACAAGGCCACATTAAGTTATCCAGTGAGGTTTCTAAACTATTGCCCAGTCTCGTTATGTCCTAATAGTAAATTAAATTTAGCACATTGGAGCTGAACTAAGAAATCAAGGGAGCAGTCTTTAATGCAATGTTTCAGTGATGGAGAACCATTAATGGGTCTCCCCAAGATGGCATTTTAGGATATTTTTTGCATGAATAATTGACTGATTCAACCATATACATTGCAGATCACCAGATGACAGTTACATTGGTTTTTAAGATAGACAAAGTAACCAAACACAACAAATTAAGAACAAGTTATCTTGGCATTCATAAATCAATGATTCCAAACCTGGCTCAGAATCATTGTGGCTCTTTTAAAAAATACATGCCCAGACTTCTTCCCTGGACATTGCCATATGGAATAAAGGCAGGGCATATGTAGTTTCTAATATTTCCTGGGTAATTCTGACCAATTTTGGGGAAGTACTAAACTAAAAGATGAAATTAATTCAATTATCTGAACAATGATTATAATATATGCAAATGAACACATATATTTAGTATTAGTTGGATACTGTCTTCTATCATCTGCATAACCTTTGCTCTAGCAGAAATAGTTCAATATCCTTATTTTGAAATCCACAATTAGTACTTAAAAGAAATTCATTGGCTTCTTGGACAAAAATCTTTACTACTGTCTTATCTGGCTGGTAGGAAGATTTCTTGCCATTTGATAAGAAATCTTATTACCCCAGGCCTTTGAGTGCCTATGGAGACTTCAGTTGACATCATCTAGTCCTCTTAATTTAATACTATTAGCATTTCTAAAACTAATCATCAAAGTATTCTAAATTAATTATGCTATTTGCTAATAAAGATGTCTAATTGTCAATGGAAGGATGTCTTTAAAATACCTGCTTCAATACAAGAGTCTTATCGGCTTCAGCAAGTATGTGAATGCGCGTGCCCATGCAGTAAGGTGCACCTCACACTCCTTTTCACATTCCTGGCTCAGATGTACCAATCATGAACAATAACATACCAATACAATGACAAATCTAGGCAAGATGGGGAAATTGCTTACCTGTATGTGTCTAGTAAGTTCAGAACAGACAGTTGAGCTGGTGGATTTAGGAAACATAAAACAAAGTCTATCCAGGTGGGAAAGTTTCCTGGATAATTCAGTTAAGATAAAAAAAAATACATACTGAGAAGCACCTAACCAAAAGACACTGTCTAGTTGATTGCAGAACAAGAAAGACTGTTTATTGAGGGACTTAAGGCAGGGCCCAGCCCAGAAAGGCTGAGTGCTGGTGGAAACGGCTTCCAGGAAAGAAAGGAAGGAATGCTAACCAATCCAACTTCCTGGAACTTATCACTTCTCCAGAAGTTGTGGTATTTAGAATTGCTTGTGTAAGAAGTTATAAAAACCTGGCAGGCTGGTACCTGTTTAGCTGCTGACATATGTTGCCCATGCAGTTTGTAGGCTGGTTCTGTGTGTGTTCGTTCAGGGCGGCCAGGTTAGCTACACAGCCCTGATGCTAGCAAAACAAAGTAGAGTTTGGAAAAAAATTCAACTCTGACCTCAGTACCACCTCCTTTTCTCTCAATTTCTGACCACGGGTGCTGCAACTTCCGTTTGGAGGCAGATGCTGGCTTCTGGGATGACATCAGCTTGGTGCTTTGAAGTGCTTTGTTTGTCTCTTCTCATATGGCTGTTTTTTCCACACAAGTTTCCTAGCTATGGAGCTTCTTTGCTTTAGTTTCCTTTCCTATTTTGACCTAAATCTGTGTCCTTTGTTCTTCACTGGTACTCAGAAACTCAGCATCCTGCTACTCTGATGTGATTCAGGTGTAAATGTACAGCGTTTGAGAGGAGGAGTGAAGATCTCTACAGCAAATGCTCCCAAAAGGTATTTCTGAGAAGGTGGCTTACTGAGTACTTATCACACAGATCCTGCCCATCTCCATGTGAATAATTTAGTGAGTATTGGTTTCTTGCTTGGTTTGGGGCATATCTGAATGTTTCCATTTTGTTTAGTAGGTGTTTAGTAATAGATTTATTCTAAAATTATTTCCTAAATGTAATGAAAACAATAACAGTTTATTTTTAGCAAATCAGTGCCACTCATCAATTTTACCCTATAATTTGTAAATATGAGGCTGGTAGAAATTGTGAAGCAGGTTAACCGAATTGTGTAGGTGGTGCACTGACAACCCTAGAGTATACCATTTATACAGTTGTCTGTGGAATGGCAAAGTGACTCACCTTCCTACTTGGAAAATTTAATCTCAAAGGAAGCGTTTTCCAAAATTAGATTCATGCATGGGGGGAAAATCCTATGGAAATCAGAGAAGCTGGTCACCATTAAAAAATACAGTATTGGTAAATTTATTTTTTCACATGAGAGCTATAAGTTGTTGTTTTAAAATGTTTTTATTGACTTTAGAAAGAGAAGAAGGGAGAGGGATAAAGAGCTGTGAGAGAAACATCAATCAGCTGCCTCCTGCATGCCCCCTTACTGGGAATTTAGCCCACAATAAAGGCATGTGCCCTGACTGGGGATCAAACTGGTGACCTCTTGGTTCACGGGTTGATGCTCAACCACTGACCCATACCACCCAGGTGAGAGCTGGCAGTTTTACATGATCCTCCATTTGAACATATTTCACATCTCTTTAAATGGTACTTCCATATCTTGCTATGCCAGCAACCTGGGAATTGTCTTTGACAGGTCTGTTTCTTTTGCTCCCATGGTTAACCTATTACCAAATGTGGTTGCTTCAACCTCCAAAGTACATTTGAGTCTGTCAGGTTTTATTTCCATTGCTGCTACTTTTTGCCTAGACCTAACCCCTACCTGACCCTCCTGCTTTTACACTTGTCCCCTTCCCAACCAATTCTGTATAGAGCAGCCAACATGATCTTTTGCATGTGAATTTCTATTTTCATCAAATGTGTACATGTGCATAAAGTGTCATAATTCTATAATTCTTATAACTACTCAGAAATAACAAAGAGCCGTCTCCTCCCCACCCTCCATTCTCAGTCCCCAGCAGTAACAACTTTCACCCCTTTTACTTGTTCCCTAGGTATTTCTCTATATTTCTAAATTGCATGTTTATGCTGTTTTTGCTTGATTTTTCTGTTTTAGATATTATCTTCTGATGTTCTCTTTACCATAGAAGATAAGCATTTCGCTCTCTCAAACACCCCTCCCCTTCTTAGTCCCACGTCATCTTCCTAATAGAATTATATCATAATTTTGAGTTAGATCGAAATTCAGTTTGTACTGTTCTGAATATGAGTTTTAGGGACAGCTGAGTCATATGGAATACTATTCTTATATTTCCTTCCTGTTTGACTTCTAATTTCCCCTTTTAATAATTGTCTGTTTTTTAGTTTGCCTCTCTCAATCTCTCTCTCTCTCTCTCTCTCTCTCTCTCCCTCTCTCTCTCTCTCTCTCTCCCTCTCTCTCTCTCTCCCCCCTCTATATATATGTATATATATATGTGTATATATATGTGTATATATATATATTCACTATTCCATCCTTAATTCTCCATGAAAGTAGAGACCTCGAGTATTAATACATGTTCATGTTCCAGTACAGTCTGGTGACTATCGAGCCTGCGACACAGCTGTTCAGGGGTTTTATTTTACCATCATCCTGAGGATTTCTATTGCTTTTCTTTTGTATTAGATCCCTGGTGTCTTAGATCCAGTGACTAGCATGCTTTTGTTCTATCTTTATGTTTGATTGAGTGAATTAATTCTAGGTCGAAATAATTATGTAGTAATTACTCCACTGTCTCTAGCTCCTAGTATTAATATTGAGCAATCCAATGGTATTTTGGTTCTGGATCCTTTGTATGTGACACTCCCTCATTTTTATCTCATGAGTCCCTTTTTAGGACCAGCATGTCTCAGTGTGGGTTTCTTCCTGTTTCTTGTGAGGTCCTTTTTCTGCTATTTCTTTATTTTGGCTTCTGACTCTCCCATTAGAGACGTTCTTCAACAATCTATGATCTCTGCTTTTCATTCCGATTTAAATGAGCTGCTGGAAGCTTTGTGGGGAGGATTTGTCAATAAATTGGCAAACTGAGACCCATGGGTCAATCTGACCCACTGCTTGTTTTTGTCTGTCACTAAGGATCATTTTTATATTGTTAAATGTTTAAGAAAATCACAATAATAATAAAAATATTTTGTGACATGTGAAACTTTATATTTTTATTCTAATTAGCTTACTGCAGAAAAAAGAGAATCCTAGTATCTGGAATTCCTGTATGGAAAAAAAATGATTTCACATTCCCCTCCAGGGTCTTGTATTCTTCACTAAGAGCAGTTCTTACTGTTTCATAGCTCTAATCCCAACTAGCTGAGATTGCCACACCATCACAACCAGTTGAGGCATCATATCTTCAAGCCTACTTCCATCTAAATGACTTGAAAAGAAAATGGTGACAGGGTTGCTCTAGATTAAAAAGAATAACAGTAGGCCCAAAGTGTTATTGTATTGTATCAAGATGTGCAAGTCCCAGATGGTCCTGTGGGATGTTTTGTACCAGAGAGGTAGGATGGGAGGCAGAAACACAGCAGAGATTAATAGAAACATATGCATTTTCAGCATCTGATGTTATTTGAATTTCAAAAGTGTTGATCAGGTCCCATCACTCTACCTCTCAAATATTCCCATGGTTTCCCACCACATTTACCCCCAATCCAATCTCCAGGCCACCTCCTCTCCTGCTGGTTTACCCTTTGCTTGCTCTGCTCATCCCACATTGGCTCCCTGACTGAGCTCAGCTGGTTTCCTTCCCAGAGTCTTCAAATTTGTTCTTCCCTCTGCCTGGTACCCTGTTTCTAAGATCTTCAGATGACTTAATCCCTTACTTCATTCAGGCATCTGTTCCAATGTCACCTCCTCAAGGAGATCTTTCCTAACCACCCTGTCTAAAATAGTTTCCACTCATCACCTGCCACTCTGAACCCTTTTTTTTTCAGTGAGTTGTTTGTTTCATCTCAGACCCATTCCCCACCTCCCTCTACTCTCTCTGTACTGCAGAGACTGATCCTTACACATTACATCTCCCAGCCTCTTTGCCAATTGGCTTCCAGTTAAGTTTGTTTAGAGAGAGGGAAGGAAGAGAGGCAGAATCCAGGAGATTTCTCCACTTTTCTATCTTTTGGGTGGCATTATTGGAATTGACTGCATCTCATCTGGTTCCAGCATCTGCAAAGTGGTCTTGGGCCCTGGGCTTCAATAACAGGACTTCTTCCCTTCATTCTTTAGCCTGAGGGGCAATTGCAAATCTCTGGAGTGTCTCATTGTCACCTGTTGCCCTTTAAGAGTTTCTGACATCATTGCAACTAATTCCTCAGATTAAATTCTGGACTTCTGTTCATTGGACTACTGTTTTTCTGACAGGATCTTCACTGATATATCCTGCTTTATGTTTTCCCTGGCCTGTATCGCTGGCTGTTATATTATTTTGGGTTAGTTGTTTATTTTCTATCTCCCCCATTAGAATATGACTCCCATGAGGCCCACATACTTGAGGACTCTATAGAGCAGTGGTTCTCAACCTTCCTAATGCTGCGACCCTTTAATACAGTTCCTCATGTTGTGGTGACCCCCAACCATAAAATTATCTTCGTTGCTACTTCATAACTGTAATTTTGCTACTGTTATGAATCGTAATGTAAATATCTGATATGCAGGATGTATTTTCATTGTTACAAATTGAACATAATTAAAGCATAGTGATTAATCACAAAAACAATATGTAATTATATATGTGTTTTCTGATGGTCTTAGGGGACCCCTGTGAAAGGGTTGTTCGACCCCCAAAGGGGTCGCCACCCACAGGTTGAGAACCGCTGCTATAGAGCAAGAATTTAAACCTGCTGAAAAATAGAAGACCATATATTTCCATTCCTCATCATTTATCAGAGAGCTGGAAAGAAGATTCATGCCTGAGTTTCTCCTGGAGAGCAGGGGGAAGGAAGCAGGCACATTGAGAAAGGTGGTGCCTGGGTCAGGTGCTACACTGAAAGCTCTCATTGTTCTTAGAAGTTCTCTTTTATGTTTCTGGCTTCAGTGGGAGACATATCCAAGTTCCAGCTCCAGGAACCAATTGAGAATAATGGGAACTAGGCCTGTGAAGGGGAAGAAGACCAGTGGGAGGTTGGTGAGCACACTAGAAGATGGAACCAGTGGACTGGCAGGGGGAGGAGGAGGTGGAACTTTCCACTAAGCTGAGCAAGTAGGAACTCACATATTAAAACAACAATCACTAACGAATGTATGACACCTAGTTTGTGTCCTGTCCTAAGCATTTTGCATTATTAAATCTAATATGAATCTATGTGAATAACAATGTATAAAACTGTATTAAACCACATATTTGAAAATACCAAAATTAACTGCATGTTATATATGTTTTTAAAAGTTGGGCAATTTAATTTGTTCTTGAAGACTGGTTTACTTTTTAACAGAACGAATCAGTGATATTAATAAATAAACCAGTAAATATCAATCCCAGACACACACCAGCATGTAGAATGAGAAAGGATAACTGCTTTGCTAAACATAAAAATGACAGATGGAAATGAAGGATGACTTCTTGTCTCCTCACAGAGGGCTGTGCACCAGTGATATGTGGGCCTCTCTTCTACTTCCTAATATTTTTAGTAGTTGCTTTCATTTCCAAAGGTTATTTAGTAATATGGGTCTTAATTCCCAACTAGGTAGAATCGCTTGGGTATATTTATTATTCATTCTAATTTTATTGGATTATGATTACAGAATGTGGCCTGTAAAATCTCTCCTTTAAAATTTTTGCTGAGGACATTTTTTATGTGGCCATAATATGACTCATTGTGTAAATATGCAATGGGCATGTAGGAAGAAAAAGAGTATGTCCATATGAAGTACCTCTACTTATATTATTAGGAGTTTGTTTATTATATTTTTGACTCCCTTTTTCGTACTTAATTCTTCTTCTTCTTACTTTTCAGCCCACTTCTAAAACAGGTATTTTTAAATCTCCCACTATATTTTATTTTGCACTTCTAAAGATTTTTTCCAAGAGAATTTAATGACTAATCTTAGTCATTTTGTAATTTTGTCTTTGTGTATCCCCCACCCAACTTTATACATTTCCTCTTCCTAAGGTCATAAAATGTGTCTTTTGTTTAGTTTGCTCTCTTTTCACTCTGGATTAGTTATATGTGGGTCTTAAATACTTTTAAAAATATTTGTTTAATTGATGTTTGCACTGAAAGTGTAGAAATATGCAAATATGAAAATGGAATGCAGAATCTTTAAAACACCAGTACAGCAGCTTTACAAATTATTTTAGGAAGAGCTATGGAAATATGAATAGATAAGGAAAACTATTTTTTGGAACTATAAAGAATCAGTAAAGCAGAATTTTAGCATTAAGTCATAGTATTGAAAACGATGAAAGTACCAACAACACAATAAAAATGGATGAAGGATATAAACTCAGTTCACAGAGACAGAAATACAAAGCCTTTTCTCAAACATTATGAGGGATACTCAACCTCACTCATAGTAATAGAGATTGATATTAAACTGATAGGAATTTCTGATTCTGGCCAAGACAGAGTAAAGGAACCAGATATAACCTTCTTCCTTAGAAGAATAGAAAGCTGAACAAAATATGTGAGGCAATGGTTTTTAGATATTGTACAAGTGCAGCCCAGGGTTGTAATCCCTGAGAAAAAGAAGCAACAACAAAAAAGAGACTAGTAAGTGCTCTAGCTTACTTTGCCTGGAGACAGTTTCCAGTCTTCAGCACATAATGAGGGAGCCCAACAGAGCTGGGCTATCTTACTCAGAAGAGGAGAGAGCTTAGAGTTCAGGGAGGCCCAATGCTAGAAACTGTGGGGCAGATACTAGAAAGGAGGGACTGGATCAGAGAAAAGGCTCTGGAGATCTGAAGGGGGTTCCCTTGAGTCTTTCACTGATTGCTAATCTACTCATGAATGAGATTAAACTACCTGCAGCTGGGTTAAATACCACTGGACATCAGTAAGCAGACAAATTCCAGGATCTCACCCAAGGCTGGGGTAGTCTGTGTTTACATCAGCCAGAGTGGGAAGATCTGATGCTTGGTCATTGGGTAGAATCTTAAGAAGTAGTTCTAAATTGGTTCTAGACTACAGTCTGATGTGGACCTATTTTAGCAGTTTAAAAGCAAGCCTTGCAGTAAAACAACTTATTTCAAATTACTTAATTGTGCATAAAAACACAACACTATTTAAAAGAATAAAAGAAATCTGGCAAAAGCATAACATAAAATCATAATGTCCAAATATCTACCAGCATGTAAAAATATAAATAAATTCAATATGAACACAAAGACAGAAATGATAGAACTAACAGACAAGAATGGGAAACAGCTATCATAAATGTTTTCTATGTTTCAGAAAATAAAAATAGTATGAGAAGAGAAATGGAAGATAAAATAATGGTATTCATATATTTTCAAATAAATGAAAATTCAATGTTTGAAATAAAATATATTGGGAGAGGTTAATATCAAATTAGTAACTGTAGAATAAATGATCAATGAACTTGAAGACATAGCAATAGAAACTATCTGAAATGAAGAACACAGAGGAGAAAATGATGCAAAATATAATAGTAACAGTAATCTATAGGACATTGGTAAGTGTTCTAATGTACATTTAATTAGAGCTCTATAAAGGAATGTGAAGATATAAAAATTATTTTAGAGAAATACTGATCGAACACTTTCCAAATTTGAACTTAAACCCATAAATCAAAAAAGTTCAATAAATTGAACATGCAGAAAAACAGAACAAAGCATATCATAATCAAATTATTGAAAACCACTGACAAAAATATCTTAAGAGCAGAGAGAGAATAGACACTTTATGCACAAAGAACTGAGATAAGGATGCTAGAAGAATTCTTTACAGATGCTATGCAAACCAGAAGATGTAGAGAGATATCTTTATAATACTAAAGGAAAATGAATTTGTTAGTCTAGAATTTTTTAACGAGTCAAAAAAAGTTAAAAAAGAAGATTTAGACATATAAAACCTGAAGGAACTCATAACCAGCATATGTGTACTTCACAAAATATTTTTAAAAATTCATCAATTGACACAAAGGATAGGAGGAAGGAAATGAAAGCATAATGTTATAAGGTTCTTATACTATACATAGGTAAGATATACACAGGCTAAAAAAAATACTTAAACCTAGACTGTGATGAATTAAAGATATAAATTGCAAACCATAAGGCAACCACTGAAATAAAAAAACAGAGTTGCACCTAATAAGTCAGTAGTGGAGATAAAATGGGATAATAAAAAAAAATTGAGTTAACCTAAAAGAAGGTAGGAAATGGGATATAAAGAAATAGGAAAATAATAGATTTAAATTCAACCACATTGTTAATCACATGAAATATATATAGTCTAAATACCCCAAGTAAAATGCAGAAATTGTTAGGTTAGATAAAAATGTAGGATACAATGATGTGATATTTATAAGAAACACATAAATCTAAAGACAGGTTAAAAGTAAAGTTATTTGAAAGTTATGCCATGCAAACACTTATTGAGTAAAATAGCTGGAGCAGCTTTATTGACATCACACAAAGTAAAATTTAGAACAAGGATAATGAGGAAAGAGAAACTTTCTTAATGATCAACAAGTCAGTTTTTAAAATACATATATTTTTTATTGATTTTAGAGAGAGAAGAAGAGAAAGGGAGAGAGAGAGAGAGAGAGAGAGAGAGAGAGAGAGAGAGAGAGAGAGGCATTGATTGGCTGCCTCCGTAAGCACCCTGACTGGGGATCAAACCAAAAACCTGGTTATGTGCCCTGACCAGGAATTGAACTGGTGACCTTTGGGTGCATGGGATGACACTCAACCAACTGAACCACACCAACCAGGGCAACAAGTCAGTTTTTGAAGAGGACATAATTCTAAATGTGCATGCAACTAACAGTGTTTCAAAATATATGAAGCAAAAGCTTATAGTACTTAAAGGAGAAATAGATAAATACACAATCATAGGTAGGGATTTAACACTCTTTCAGTAACTAATAGAAAAAGTAGACAGAAAGTTAGAAATTGCATAGAACACTCAATAGTATCAATCGACTAGACCTAATTGACATAGAAAACTTCATCTAATAACAGAAGAATACATATTCTTTTCAAATGAATACAGAACACTTATCAGGATAGACCATATTCTGTGCTATAAAACAAGCCTCAATAAATATAAAAGGATTGAAATCATGCAGAGTATGTTTTCTAACAACAACAACAACAAAAAGGTTAAAAATTGATACAGGAAAGATATCTGAAAATCCTAAAGATGTAAAAATGAGTCAACACATTTCTGAATAATCCCTGGTTCAAGGAAGAAATTACAATGGTAAATTAGGAATATTTAAACTGAATGAAATTGAAAACATCATAAAACAAAATCTGTGAGGCAGCTAAAACAGTGCTTATTAGAAGGAAATATATACCATCAAGTGCACATATTAAAAAGGAGAAAAATCCTTTATTTTTTGGATAGAATAACTCTGTTTTTTACTAAGGTGAAAAGGAATTAAATATCTAATTCCATTTCCAGCTAGTCATTCAAAACTGGCTTCTCTCCCTCAAGCCTATATTTCTTTTTTTTTTTTTATTAAATCTTTATTGTTCCTCCATTTCCAAGTCATTCAAAACTGGCTTCTCTCCCTCAAGCCTATATTTCTTTTTTTTTTTTTATTAAATCTTTATTGTTCAGATTACAACAT